CCTGTATTTCTACAACAGACTCTGTAGTTGCACCTCTCTACTACGGACACCAGCTGAAACTGGGAAGTGACAAAGTATCCGTCTTAGAGAGGCGTCAGAATAGGACGCTATTGTGAGAAGCCTCTCTAATGCTAGCCTGTGAATAGGCTAATGGTGCAGCGTTCTTCATGTTAAAACTGACCCAAGCACAACTTTGAAGTGCATCAAATGTTGTTCACTAGAAAGTGATAAAAATTCATCGTACACTAATCGTGTTGCAGCATAGAAATCAATTAGAGAGACTTCAAAAAAACAGTGATGATAATGTAATATCAAATACTACTTTAATTTTAAATATATACGTAAAAGAGCCACAAGGCTGTTTGATCGGAAACCGCAAAAAACAAGTTGTATTGAAATCGACAGTGTCACCGGTTTGAGATTTGATGTCTTTTGCCCGGAACTATTAGGGAGGGCCAGTGCATGATAAGCTTTTTCATGGAGAAAATATGGGCATTTCAACAAGGACCAACGGATCTGTCCGAACAATGAATGAGTCAGACTCAGATTTTAATCAAAACTACAGTAAAATTCTCGAATTTGTTTACTCATCAGCAGGTTAGCTTTGAGCACTAGGACAGTTTACAGATAATGCCGGTGCATGGCTATAACTTAACAGTACTTAGCCTGCGAGCAGGTTCTTCGTAGGCTAAACAGTACTCAGTAATTATCAATAGCATTGTAGTCCAATGTAACAGGTTAGACAGCTATGGAACAGTAAAACCCGCGTGTAAGAACCTACATTTTTTGAAGTCTTGTAAAAATGGGTTCCTTCATTTTGAGGTAGTTTTTAGCAATCATATGTTACAGTGGCGGACCCAGACCTTAAGCTTAAGGGGGGGGGGGGNTTTTGTTTTGCTTGCCCTTCCGGCTTTTCTTCCTTCTGTGCTTTCTTTTTTTTTTTACCCAAACTAAGGGGGGAGGGGGGACCGGGGCCCCTCCCTTAGATCCGCCACTGGGTTAATAAGTAGGTTCTTAATTAGGCTCCAAATTGCTATGAAGGAGATATAGTTGTTGATTACCAGAAAAATAAATAAACTTGGGTTTGGTCCTTGAATATACAGTATTTATTCACAACAGAACTGTATTATGTATTTTCTTGAAAATATAAATTTGCAATCTCAAAATTGAAATTCGCCAAAATTCGGAAACTCCCGGGGAAAACTACTCCGCGAGCGAAGAGGCACGTGTAGCGAAACACTTCACATGCATCGGACATATTTACAGGTATTCTCGCCCTCTTCTTTCTCCCCTCGAAACTTGCCTAAATTCGTTTCAAAACTCTATTCCTTTTCTCTCTCGAAGAAATAAAACTAATGAAAGCGAAGACATGCCACAGACATTCTAGCCTGCTAACGCAGACGTATTTCCGGCTGTCACTTGGTTCCGCCGAAAAATAACGTCTGCGGACCCGAGCCAGGAAACGATTTCTGTGACGTAATGACTTTTGTTTCTCCTTGGCCAATC